TGTGTCTCTATTTTTCTCTGAGATGTGTTCCTAACTCTCACATGGAATCACTCATCCCTCCCCCCGGCCCCCATATATGCAGTTAACAATCGTTAGGCTGCCGTGAGATTGCATAGCCAAAAGACAGGGCGTATATTTGTGTCATGGTCTGTTCTTCCTTTTTTCTTTGGGCTTTCTGAATAACACCTATTTGTCTGCCTCCTTTGACCACAAAGCTGATGTGATGACAGGTCTCAACACTGAACTCTAGCTATTCCAGACTCTCATGTCAGATATCACTGTCTGGAAAAGCATCCCATGAAATCTCAGAATAGTGTAGAGGAGGCAGTGAGATCAGCCGCTAGTACAGCCTTGAGCTTATGCCACACTACCCTTCGGGATTTCCAAGAGAGACCTCCCAGAATGTGGATGGATCTTCCCCAAAGGATAAAGTTCTGTGCTTAGGCTGCCGTGAGATTGCATAGCCAAAAGACAGGGCGTATATTTGTGTCATGGTCTGTTCTTCCTTTTTTCTTTGGGCTTTCTGAATAACACCTATTTGTCTGCCTCCTTTGACCACAAAGCTGATGTGATGACAGGTCTCAACACTGAACTCTAGCTATTCCAGACTCTCATGTCAGATATCACTGTCTGGAAAAGCATCCCATGAAATCTCAGAATAGTGTAGAGGAGGCAGTGAGATCAGCCGCTAGTACAGCCTTGAGCTTATGCCACACTACCCTTCAGGATTTCCAAGAGAGACCTCCCAGAATGTGGATGGATCTTCCCTAAAGGATAAAGTTCTGTGCCTTCCATGTGGCTGGGATTCCTCTTGATATTCTTCCTCCTCACCCATGTGAGAGTGAGTGAGGCAAACATTAGATTTTCAATTTTCTTAACCACTAAACTATACCACACAATCACCAGTAAATATGGACATACAAAGTCTTTCCTCCACAAACAAATGGACAGGAAGACAAGGATCACAAAATACTTACCTTGGTTTCAAATGATAAGATGAACACACATCAAACAAATATAAGCGGAATTATCTGACTGTGAGACTTGCTGTAACTAGACAAATATAAATAGCCTAACAAAATGCTTTTGACTAGTTACGTTGTATTTAGGAAAGCTTTTCTACATGCAGTATGAAAGTATAAGGCAGTCAAGAGGAAGT